TCCAGTTCTTTTTGTTCTGCTTTTAATGCCTTAATTTCCACTCATATTGTGATAGTCACCATGATTAATGGCATCAAGGAGAAAGCTGTAAAATAAAATGGTTCAGATTTTGTTTGTATGTTATGTATAAATTAATCATTTTCCCAAATTTTCTGTTCCTCTTTTAATTTTTATTTACCAACTGAATTTGTTATTTAAATGGGGGTAGGGCTGTTGGTAAGTAGGCATGCCACTGACAAGACAGCAACCCAGGACTCAAAACTCTGAATTCAGGGAAAATCAAAAGCAGCAACCCAGCTTGCAACCTCCATGTTGCAGAATTATGAATTAATCTTAACACCAAACTTTATTCTAGTGAGAGAGGTATAACACAAAGCAATTATCACACAAGCACCAGCTATCAGTGATCAATGCCCATATGGTGACAGCCAAGCCTGGTCTGAGAGGAAGATGAGGGAATGTTTTTGTCCAAAGCCTTCCAACATGTTCAATCTGCTCATACTTGTGGAAAAAATTCCATAGCACTAAGGGTGTGCAATTGCATTCACTTGCATGTTTGTGATATATAGAAAAATTTTAATTAAATCTGACACCTGTGATCAACATCAGATTTATTATTCATAAGAAACTATACAATGAAAAGGAAAATTTTTTTTTTTGATCCTCTGGGTAGACATGCATTATTAAAGTTGTGTTTCTGCATTGTTTTGGTATTGTTATTACCTGGGTGATGTAATTGTTTGTTATGTCAATTATGATATCAAATGGATTCCATAATAATCATGACCATCATGAATATTTGATGGATGGAGGCATTCACATACAAGGAAATGATTAAATAGCCAAGTCATGTTTGTTTTATTAAAGATATACAATTAATTATATTTAAAATATACAATAAAAAGCTGTTATTCTTTTGTGCTAATTTGGGGTCCCATCTTTCTTTGCTTATATACAATCTATTGGTTCTCTTTTTACTGGTTGAATGATGCCAAATTGGTAATGGTGTATCAGTAAATATCAGAATTTGATATTCTTTAAAAAAATAATCAAGGTATTGGCATACTGATAAGTTAATAATATTCTTAGTATTTTTATCATATAGTCTAAAAGCCTATTAGTAAATGTTGAAAGTGCCAATATTTATCAGATATTCTTTTAAAATTAATCCTATTTTTTAATTAATTATTGGCTTAATTTAATAAACCAATAGCCTTTTTATATTGTAATTAAATTATTGGTTAAATATTTCTAAAGCTCTTTGTGCTAAAATAATATCATAATCTTGTGCAATTGGAGAGAAAAATAATTTTGGGGAATATAATTATTTTATTTATTGTTATTTGTTTTGGTGATGCACATTATTATGTGGTTTTTTTAAATTTGGTTTATGAAATGATGATAAAATAAAATATTTCAAAAAAATTTTTTTTAAAGGAATAAATAAATAAACTTGATTTTTAAAAATAGATCAAAAAAATTTTTGCTCTTATATTAATCTATATATTCATTTTTAAATTATTTTGCAAAATCAATTGATTTTCATCATTATTATATTAATGAATTATCAAAATCACCATTATCACTATCATTATTATTATTACTTACAAGGGTTATCTCATTCTATTCCAACCCAGATACCTTTAGCAAATTAAATTTCACCTAAAATGTCTACCAACTGAAATATCAAGGTTAGAAATCATGGCTAATTTAATCTGGTGTGGTTTGAATTGCAGACTGATTATTGTACCATTTGATACTGAAGTGATGGATGCTGTATATGGGGCCTGCAATGGTGGTGAATATTTTCTATGATGTACTGAAGTTATAGTAAAATCACTTTTCACTAATGATACTGATGTAATGGAACTGGCTCTTGATGATGGCAACAGTGATTTTTATCACGACATGCCTTTGTTCTGCATCATCATATTTCATTTGACATAACATATTAGACCTTGTCTATTTCACTCCATTAGTATTCTTATAACTGGGTCATCTTGACAGCAATACTTGTAGAAGAGATTGATGATGCACCTGATGATGCAGGGTGTTGATACTGTACGCTTTAGCTGAATTTGATTTAGTCATTTTAATAAAGGAACTTTAGATATTATTATTGGTGATGATTTTGAAGTGGGCTTTTGATGATGACATAAGTGTTGAAGATATAGATGTAAATGAAAAAGATGTAGCATTTGTTGCTTATGAGCTTTGAAGGTGACTGGTGTTAATTTTTGATGATCATTGTCTTCTTCTTCTTCTTCAACTACGATATCTAAATCACCATTGTCAGAATGATCTAAAATTAATTCAACATCAGTATACAATTTTTGATTTAAACATGTATAATAAATCTTCTTTTAATTTATCTTGCTCCAGTTCATCAGTTGTATCCACAGCCACCAAAAATTCCTCATCAATATAAAAATTCAATTCTTGCCTAAACACTATTGGATCTTCATCAGCTTTAACAATCAAAGGTTCTAGATTGACAACCTGACTGATCTTATAGACATTCCATTTGCATCTTTATTTTTAAGAAATTGTTCTTTGAATGAACGTGAACTTCTTGAATACAAAGTTGCTATTCAATTATAAATAAATTATAAATAATTAAATGAATAGAATTTTTAGATTCTTTAATGTATTTTTTAAAAAATAAGTTAATGACAAACACCTTTATGTCCATAAATGATTGTTGGTTAAAGTGCTGAAGCAAAGTCCCAAGCTATATAGCATACAAACTACTAACATTATTGAGTGTAAATCTTACCAAATTATCTTTGAATGTTGGCTTATCAATTGACCATAGATCTAGCCCCTCCCTTTCTTTGTTTAATGCAAAAATTTGTTGTACAGTAAATGTTTTGTTTTATAAATAGTATTCTTGTAAATTAGCTTTCCCTTGTCTGAAGGGTACTGCTTTATATGGGGATGATATCAATGATGATGCTCCATAGCTGATGACTACCTGTTAATTGAAGATTTATGATTTTTTGGATTGTTTATTTAAATATAATCAACATTTATAAAACAAAAATTCCTTTTTCAATTAACTTGAACTTGGGATAATGGGAAAAATTCGATTCTTCTTGCTAAAAAAATTACAAAATTGTAATAATTTCAAAATGGAAAAAAATAAAATGCTTACCTGTGATTGTTCAACAAATATTTCATCATCAAAGTCCAAAACATAGTCCAGAATAACGTGTTGTTTTATCAAAAAATTTTCATTTATATATAACTTCACTTGGTGTTGGATAAATCACAACATCTTCATCTGACACACACATATAGCTAGGCCTCATGCTGTCTTTTGTATTTACTATTCAGATAATGAATTCTTTGTCATTGAGTTTAACCTTAATTTTCATATTAATTCTTATTTGGATAAGATATGTTGCATTTTCTTTATTAATAAAATTCCACAAATAAATACTGAATGGACACAATGGATAGTTTGATTGATTTCGCCAGGTGCTTTCGATATTTTTGGCGACAAAATTTTAATAAAATGATCGACACTGAATTCATAGACGGATCATCAATTAAGTTTATTATTTATTATTATTTATTATAAACTCTGGCAATTGCTATATAGTTTTAAAATTAAACTTTTTTTCATTTTCAAACAAAATGGCAGGAGATAATAATTGTAAAAAAGTTTTATTCAAATTACCCTTTTTTTTTTAATAAAAATATAATTAATTATTTGTTTGATTAAGAATAGCTCTTATCAAGGATCCTGTATTTGAACGCTGGGCAGATTACCGTACTAACCCAACACCATATTTTCGCTGGACAAATAGAACAATTAAATTGTCACTAATATATTGTGCGGCCATTCCCCTTGGAATTTATTGGCTTGCTATTAAATCAGATGTAATCATTTATTTTTTTTTAGTTATTTAATCAATAAATAATTATAATAATGCTAATCAACATCTATCTTATTATTTTTTTTTTTTATTAAGAGTAAGATTGATATTACTGCACTCAATAGGAAACAATCATTAAAGGATGCAATTATAAAAAAATAATTAAGTAATTGCAAAAAAACAAAAATTATATCTCTGTGTCTGTATATTTTTAATAAATTCTTTGATTAAAAGTAAAATAAAGAATCACAATCCAGATGAAATACATTTACTTGACACAAAAATTTCATCATCTTCTCTCAGCATTATATTATACAACTCTATATAGCATAAGGAAACTAGAGAACAAGATGAATCAGGCCGTTTTTACATTGTGATATTTGTTGGCAATCCAAGCATTTTAAATACTCAGTTATTTACATAATTCAAGGTCTTTGACTAGATATTACAGGTTTCTTTATCGGGCAGGACTGTTATTTGTTAGTTTATGAAATGAAGATTCTCTAATTCATCTATTTTAATATGAACCAATATAATGTTTAAGTGAGAAAAAAAGATTATTTTTTATGAATGCAATATTAATATAATCCATTTAACAAAATCATTTTATATTTGCTAATTTGGATCTCGATTTTATTTATAACAAAATATTAATCTGTCCTCTATATAACTTCCCTTAACATATTCTCAGTTTTATAAGCCAACTGAAATTAATTTTATGTATAATATTAACAATAATTCTCATCTTCATCCTTAAGGTTTTTTTTTACTAGCATGTATTTGATATCACCAAAGTAACCTCCAGTTCATACCTCTTTCTGACATGATCACAGATATTATTGAGAGTAATCTGAAATTATGTAATCACTCTAGATAATAGGAGGCTGCATACAGGTATACTAATTTACATTTACATCAGACATAACTGTATAGAAAGAACCCTTCTAAAACGGCAATAGTTTTTATTGTCTTTGGCAATTTTACATACACTCCTAATCGAATGTATATTATTATTATAATATTACACATGTAAATTCAATAATTAAAGTACTTGATAACATAAGTGAGCGTCTGACCTATTGGTTTCTAAACATAACCGACTATTATTATACTAATACTACAAATTAAAAGACTTTAAATAATTACAAAAACATTAAATTTTATGTGCATTTATTATTTCTGTTCCAGGAAAAATGATACTTTTTGGTGAGCATGCTGTTGTGTATGGAAAGGTGATGTGTGTGTATATATTGATATCTAATTAATTGTTAAGATTTTGCATTACTGAATTTCAAGTAACGTATAATTCCTGTTCTTTGGTTATGTATAATTAATTAATTCTTTGTCAATACTTGTATATCTAGACTGCAATTGCGGGATGTTTGGATGGACTTTGAACATACATAATTTTTGAAAAAAGATTAGATGGATATATCAAATTAAATTTACCAGATTTGGAACTTGGTCATCCTTTGATATGGCCAATTCTATGTTTATATCTATGAAAAAATATAATTAAATAATGATGATAATGATTTCTTGATTATTTTATGTGAACTATCAATTATAACTGTGTTTATCACTCAACCATAAACAATTTATCAATTTAGATTCATCAAAAGATGGTAATTGTGATGATGGGCCATTATTTAATGAAGAACTCTTTCAAGAAATCAAACCATTTGTTCACGAGGAAAATAAAAGAAATGTAGATGAATAAAAGTTGGATCGTTTACAACAAGTAGCTGCCTTGGCATTTCTTTATCTTTTTGCAAGTATTGAAGATAAATGGGCTTTATGGTTATTGATTTATTTAATTTATTTACCAGCGTCATCAGAAATAATAATTTCTTTTACAAAATAAGAATGGAATGTCAATTTGTATAAGCTCAGATCTTCTTCCTGTTGGTACTGGCTTAGGATCATCGGCAGCTTGCTCAGTCTGTTTGGCTACAGGATTATTACTTGTGCTTGGTCATATTTCAATTCCAAATAATAACAGTAATCAAGATGATGAAAAAATTGATACTTCTGCTTAAATCGATGGACTTATCAAGTCAAAAAGATTATACATGGAAGAACATCAGGAATAGATAATAGTGTTACTACTTATGGTAATTAATCAACTTAACGATTTATTTTAATATTTACAATTATTTAATGTTTGTTAAATTCTATTTTTGATGGACTTGGGTGGAGCTGTGTTGTATAAAATGACCAGTCAAAGAGTAATAATTATTGTTGACGGTTAAAAAGAATTAACCCAAAAACCTCATACGTATTTGTAAGTTTTTATTCCATTCAACTTATACTTAACAATACTAAAGTAACTCGTAATACACTAACTTAAGTAGCAAACGTTAGAATAGTATGTGATAAAGTAAGATTAATTGAAAATTTCATTTGTTTATGAATTTTTTTTTTGATATTTTATAAAAAATTATGCATATATAATATATAGTTCCCACAAATTATTGATACAATTTTAGATGCAATTGAAAATGTCAGTGTATTTTCAAAGGAGATTCTTGAAAAGTTTGATAAAATTGGTATTGAATCTCAATAAATCTTTATTTTTTTTGGTTTTATTATAATGTATTAAGTTATGTTAATAAGCCACATCGAATTAAAATTAGATATTAGTGAATTCTATGATAAGACTGAGGTATTTGATTTTTTTTGTAAGGAAATATTCAAACATATCTATCTGCCTAACAATATATATGTCATTATTAAGAATTTATTGATATAAATCATCATCTTGCCAATGGACACTGTTCACATGATAAAATATGTGAAATCACAGCAGATTATAAATTACACTCAAAACTTACTGGAACCAGAGGTGGTGGATGTGCATTGACATTGATAAGAGAGGGTAAATATTTATATTATTTATTATAATTATAATTATTAACAGATTTATATACATTTACATGTTAGATATTAATGAGTAAAGTGATAATTTCGTTAGAATCAATTGAATACAAGTGTTATATATCAAATGTTTGTGGGTCTGGTGTATGAGTGACTGGTGTGACAAGTATGATTAATCTAAAGGAACTTTTAGGATCTAAAATTTGTCCAACTATTGGTTGGAGATATTTTAATTAAAAACTATATACACTTCCTGGACAAAAGTATAGGGACAATCAATTAAATTTAAATTAGAGAATCGGCTAGTGAAATAGGAACATCCGAAAATTATACAATAAAAACCATTGAAATAACATTTTTAGATCCTTCATTGTCAAAAATCCACTTGTTAGAAAATTCATTGGTTCGATACGCATAATAACAATCAAGTCTTGCACATCATTTTGATTTAAGAAATTTAATCTTTTATATTCGTTTATGACATTGACATCTACTCTCAAGCAGTCAAATCAAAGATAAAATATCCAATGACTTCCAGGAAGAAGTTCGACTCATTCCCACGTAGATTTATCCTGGCATAAACATATTATGATCTATAGTTAATTGTAGTGTTAGGACCTAAGCCTATGCACCGTAAGAGTAAAACGGAAATTGATACCTCAACGCTGGTATGCCATTAAATGTTAAAACTTACAACATTTTTCTACAAGTTGACCGGAAGCAAACTGAAATTTGTCCACAATAGACATTAGCCTGTTTTTTTTTCTATTATATGGATCATAGTTATTCACTCTGAATGCTTTGTAATTGACCTCCACATATTTCTGGACTTCACGAGGCATACAGCCATCCCAGTCACTGTACGTGTTTCGCTAACCGACTTTATGAACATAATTGATGATAAGATGTATTTTTTTTTTTGTTATACTAGACAAAAAGCAAGCGAATAAAAAATGTTTGAGGCGAATTTGGATTTTTTATTTACCTTTTCGAATAATAAAGAATTATTAAGTTGTTTATTATCGAATAATCAAGTTGGTGAATACTAGACAAAGTGAATGAGTAAAAATGTTCTAGAGGTGAATTGGGGATTTTTTTTCGAACAATCAAAGAAATTTTATTATTAATATTAAAGCTGTTTATTGTCGAATAATCAAATTCAAAATTATTAATACTAGATAAAAAGCAAGCGAGCAAAAAATATTCAAGAGGCAAATTGGTTTGTTTATTCATTCATCAATCTCAGACGATTAGAATTTTTTTTCATACAGAAGAATAAGCTTTACAAATTTCGACTGTTAAAAAAATAACCAAGATTTTTTCTTCCTAATTAAAAAACAAGATCCTTCGCAAAGAAGAATCTTCGTGATAATGATTGTTATTTACGAATTTCAATCGTTAAAAAAATCAACCAAGCTTTTTTTCCTTAATTAAAAAAAAAAAGCTTCTTTTTCTCATTTATCCCAGATCAAAAATCAATCGGAGGGTTTCAAGTCTAGAAGAAAGGTTATTTACAATTTCGATTTTTTTAAAAATCAATGGATTTTTATTTGTTTTCTCCCAAGGAAATTTTTCATTAATATTAACCAACGGATTTTATTTGTTTCTCCGAAATAATAATAATAATAATATGGTGATGACAATGACTGCGTCAGAGTCCGAAATAATAATAAGTTAGCAACTTCAGTATCAATTTTATGCTTTTTCCTACCAAACAAACCGTTAGAAATTTTCTCTTTGATTTTTGTTTTACTTTTAGAAACATGACCCATTAATAAAACCGCGTTTTCAAAAATATTATCACGCGATTTTACCGACAAATTAATAAATTGACCAATAAAAAGAGAGTCCGACCTTTTAAATTTTACTATATAATATATAACTGAGACTCGATAACGAAAAAAGTAAACCAATAAAAGTTAAAGGAAATAGCGCCAGTTCTGAATTGCCTGGCTATTGTTATCGGTGTGACTCATTTATGACTGACATTGAAGATTCTTCTACTTTTATGTTGACCCAATCAGAATGTACGCACATGTAGGCAGTGTTGGCAAATCTGTCCAAATACCCCTTGTCCGATTGTCCAATTTGTGTCCAATTTACTGTATTAGGTAATTTGGACTAATAGTTACTGCGGCATTTGGACAATTGGACAAATCCAAATAAAATTTAATTGGACACCTAAAAATGCCAACCCTGCCATAGGGTTACTGACCAGCCCATTTTTGGTTAATTATCGTAAATTATTTCCTAAACAGAAAAAACCAACCAATCAACTTTCGAGATTCGCGTTAATACGATCAGGCACTTAATTTGGCAGTGACCATTCAATAAAGTTTTCCCAGTCCTCAGTTTATTCAATAGACATGATTTCCATCAACTCTTTTGGTACTGATTTACATAATAAGTTCGTGTAATGAATGATCTCAATTATTCGTGTTTATTTATAATTAATATCATTATTCAATTATATTGGAAGAGCAAGAAATTTGTTTTTGGTAATATAGCAGTCAAAGCTTCTTTTGTTATTGTTATTATAAAGATTTATAAATATAAATTTTTTTTGTTTCATAGCAACTTTCTTCTCGTTCCTAAAATCAATCCATAATAATCATCGATTCGTTAATACCAATATTACACTAAAATATTCTAGAAATTTCAAAAACCAAAAAATCAACATCAGCCATCAAATATAAACTTAGCAACTTTCTTCTCGTTCCTAAAATCAATCCATAATAATCATCGATTCGTTAATACCAATATTACACTAAAATATTCTAGAAATTTCAAAAACCAAAAAATCAACATCAGCCATCAAATATAAACTAGAAAACTTATACCACCACCACCGAAAATAGATCAACGTCAGCCGAAGAAGCTATTACCAACGTTCTTTATAATATGTCAACGACTCCATCATCATCTCCGAAACGACATGCATTAAACTGTTTGGTACAAAATAAATTTAATGTATTGGGTAGAATTAGTGGTATTTTAGCTGCAAGAAATTTCAATATTGATTCATCCGGTTGTGTCCGGTACTGAAGCAAGCTGATCCAAGTAGAATGATTGTTGTTTTGCGTGGTCAAGATGTTGTTGTTGTTGAGCAATCTAGAAGACAATTAGAAGATTTGGTATGTAAATGAGGAGCACGAGTTTTAATAAAAAAAATAAACAAATAAAGATTATAATTTATAGGTACCAGTACGATAGTTCTTGATTACAACTGTTATGTAGAAGAGAAATGTTATTGGCAAAAATGGATCAATGAACAATTGGATTTAATTAAACATGTGGGATATGATGATCAATTTATACCTGAAACTGGATTTAAAGTATTATTATAATTTTGATTTCTCTCTAATAAATAATAATGGTAAAAAGTGTTAATGATTTAAAAATTCTAAATATACGAGCGACCAGATGTTTCATCTTAATGATGATAATCTTGATGATGCAAAGCCCCGTACGCCATCATCAGTTTTATAACATGGACATCATCATTTTTATGTTCTTGAAAGATTTATCTAAATTATTTGGTGGAAAAATTGTCAATGTATCAAATGATAGTGTCATAATAGAATAATCTGTTAAACCTGTCAGATTCATCAAATCGATAAAACCATTTGGTATTCTGGAAGCAGCGAGAAGCAGTAAATAAATATAATTGTGATATAATTTATGTTTTAATAATATGTTATATTATATGTATATGTTAAAAGAAGGTGCCAACTGGTTAATTGAAAATATGAATACATACATACATGTAATATTAACCGACTGATCCACGTAATAATAATAATAAAGTTATTGATAATTAATTTATGACTTTAAATATTTATATTAATTTCCTTTATTTAAAAGATATAAAATTTTACAAATCGTTTTAAAAACATTTAAAGAATTTTATAATTAATAAATATATTTAAGGAATTGCTTGATATTGAGGTACTTCTCTATTTTCCCCTTCTCTGCGTTCAGTGTATCTCAATTTTCTAAATAATTAACGTCGATTAGAGATCATAATCAATAATAATAATAATAATATTAATATTAATATTAATATTAATAATATTAATTAATTAATTATACTTACAAATAAACAATCACTGTTATAAATGGAAAAGCAAAAAGGAAGAAAGTCCATAAGAATTTTATTGGGAAAGGTTTATCACTTCGTAAAACTTCCACAACGGAAACAAGTATAAGAACAGACTATATTCATAATAAACATTTATAAGTTATAATCAATTTACTTTCGTTAACTTGAATGAATGAATAATTTAAATTTAAATTTTGCTTACGAATGCAAGAGCCAAAAGAAAAACGAAGAAATTCAAAAGTTCATCACCCAAGTCAAAGAAAAACATTTTTGTAATATTCTTGAATCTTTTTTTTTATAAATTAATAATCGATAATATCAAAAATAAAAGAGAATATTTATTTATTATTATTATTATATTGACCAAAAATGATTTAAATGATTCAAGACTGTGTAACAAAGTTTACATTACACGAGATTGATTCAAAATTATGTATAATACTAATGAATAATAATAAGATTATCTTATCAGCATTGATCATTGATGATGACGGCAATAATAATAATGTTTTTACACAATCTCATTACTGACTGATTTTCCGATCATGATCATGTGCAGCAGTGGGGTCAATTGAAGTCCCTCCAGCATAGTGAAGTTTGTTGTTATGCGAAATGTTATATAGAACCCATTGCTCCTGAAACTTCACCATTATATAGTAGTTACCTCTCTAAATTGGAGATCAAGTTCAGATCCAATTCAAATCTAGTTTATCACTTGCTTTTTTATTGCCAGAATGTTTGCCGTGTATTGTTGCACATATAAAAAAATTCGTGTAACATTTTAAATTTCCACTATTCTAGTCCCTCCTAAAAATTTCAGACATTTCTCCTTCATTCTCCTTCACTGTTCCAGAGAGTCTGACAAATATGAAGCACATTGGAAATCTATTGCACTTAAAAGGCTTTAAATGTTATTTGGAGATCCCTGGGTCATTGTTGAAAAAAATGGAAAAACAAGAAATCTGTTACTATTATTGTTGGTTAGGATGAGGTGCAAATCATATTTAATATATTATAATGAAAGTTTTAAGGAGAAGCAAACCTGATCCATGCTAGTGGACAGTTTCTTACAGATGGAACAATGAGAACAAAAAAAAAAGAATCCACTAAAAGTATACAGGAAAAATATAAAATCGACTATAATAGAATCAAATAAGTATTGTTAGAGAACTAGAACAAGAGAAAAAAATACCGTTTATAATGATTTTAGAAACCAAGATCATTTAGTTAATTATTTATTTATTTACTTGGTGAACCTGTTGAGGCTGAAACAACAACAACAACAACATATAAAATCTGCCGGCTATGTTTGTGAGTTTCTTTGTAAAGTAAAGAAGAATTTATCGTGACCATGTTATTAATATATTATATTAATTCAGACACATGATCCAATCACTTTACAAAAACTAGTAAAGAAAGGTGTAGTTACGTTTTAAGAAACTCGATAAAGGAAGAGGTAACGTTGCCTGATGATCAATTACTTTTTAAACCTTGAAAGCTATAGAGCATTTATTAGTTGATTTGGAAATCTCATTCATCAAGATTAAGTTGTTGCCTAGATAGAATTGTCAATAATAAATTGATAAAAAAGTCAAGTGTACCTGGTGTTGCTGAGATCGCATCTAATTTATTGAACAGATGGTTAAAAAAATAACCGAACCTGCCACCAGAAAAAAAATGCTGAAATGAAAAAGGATTTTTTGAAAATATGTTTGATATTCCTTCCACATCCGCCGCTTCTTCTTTGTCATCATTGATCAAAAAAAAAAAAATGCCAACACAGCAGTTCAAATAAAAACTAATAGAAAAACTGAAACAGATGAGAACGTGCAAGTTTTGCTCCAGATTCTAGGTTTGCAGAAATAAATTTTTTTGAAAATGAGTATTCTGGTGATGATGCTAAAAGGTGGTACATCAACCATTTTTGGCAATGGTCATATTATTAGTAACATTACAACATGGTGTGAACCACAACCATCACAACCATCGTCTTCATCTAATGATTGTGTCAATCGCCAAGTTCCTGACTATCCATATGAAAATGAAGGGCATCCAAAAAAAACTCCACTGTATCCAAAAGAACCGCTAATTCAAAGTTAAAATGTTACATATTGCAACTATTCAACAACAACAGCAAAATGGTCGATCGATAAAACATAATTTTTTTTGATTGTTATTAGATTAAATTGTATTTGATGAATTGGTTAGATTATATGATTTGCTTGATATAATAATTGTAATTCTATGTTGCCCTAAAGCTTCTATCAAACCATAAGCCTTTTTGAGCAGTTCAAACGCCTATAAATGGGACTGATTTCTGTATTATTTCATACGAGTATTATACATTAATACATTTATGATAACTTAGCTAAGAGCAAAATAATTATACTCGGGATAAAGAAGTCTAATACGAATACTACCATAAATGGGAAGAAGAAGTAATATACACCAAGACCAATGAATTTATCAGCTATGTATTAGGAAATAATAAATACATAAGCTCCAAAAAGCAAATCATTTGAATCGATTGATTTAAGTATGAATTGATGGTAAAAACCACCACATAAGTCATAATGCTTGATATGGTGTATGGATGGTTATAGTTGGTCCAGGAGAATTACATTTTTGATAGAAATTCATGTAAAAATCAAAATTTAAATAATCGAGTTACAAAAAAAGAATCATGTTTTTTATACCAATTTGAAGATCAGATATTGTTTGTGTGTTGTGAGATCACGTCCGTGGTAAATACATGGCTTTAACTTTTCGATGATTTCAAATCATTTTCAAAATATCACCTCACTCCAATTCTATATCAATTCATCGTTCAATCAATACATAGCAATTCGTCGCTATCCTCATCAAATCACTTTAAATCAATTCAACGGCCAAGAAAATAATTATTCAAGAAATATTTATTCTTTATGTTGATAGTTTTATTATTTATATGTTTTGTTATGCAAAAATAGTTACATTACAGTATCAGTGAAAAGGATTAGGAAGATACTATACATTATCATGATTAGAAAAGAAATTAAGTTGAACAGTATTTGACAATGCTCAGAATTAAAGACTCATTGATACAAGTCGTAGTACTCAAAACCCTATCTAGAAGGGATCTCTCCAAGTTCCTCTTCTAATTTTCACATAAAGGAAACTTGTCACCTTCCTCTTCTGCTAACAAATTATTGTCAAGTATTCAAATATTACAGGTTATATAATAATAAATTAAAGTTCAAGTGGAAGAAACATATATATGTGTTTTAAAATTATAGATTACCATGACATTAATAAATAGAGTTTTAAAAATCAGTCCATATAGGTTCGCTCGTTAAGTGGTCGGACCTATTTGTGGCACAAGTTTAGGTAATTTTATTTTATCAAGAATCTTGGTTGTTGTTTCTGGTGTCAAATCTTTCTATAATTATTTTTTGAATAATATTTCTTTTTTCACATAAATAAAATCATACATAGTGGTCATCAACTTCCACTAATGTAAATAATTTACCAAGTGTGAATTTCATTTTCGCATGGTGTCGTTGTACATAATCGAAGAAAATATTTACCAACTGGTTCCCTAATAATTTATATTTATATTTATCCATTATATCTAAATTTCCAATATTCTTTAATATATTTTACCAATCAATGTATATGTACAATATTAATAAATAATTTTATGCGATCAGATATTGATCCAGAGTTAATGTATCACGACAATTATGATTAAGCCTAGAAACGTCAAATCCATCCATCATCTTTAAATGATTTATAAAATTTTTTTTCAAAAATTCGTGCAACAAATTTTTTGATTGACTGCGTCCAATTTCTTCTTCCTAAAATTGACACGAATCAAGTTTTTATGTACTTTTTGACAACAAACAATGCAACAGTAATGGTAATTATACAATCGACTGGGACCTTAAACTATTAATAAATGTGAGTCACCATGTCATTATATTGTATTTTTGGATATCCGGTATAAAGTTTGGCTGATATAGAGATATACCAAAACTCTATTTGGATATCGTATCCGTCATCAAAGTCTCAATTTGGATGTTTTACATTGCAAAATAAAACCTTGTAATCATAGTCATTTTGTATAACCTATGGTGATCTATGACATGTTATAAATTACAGTATTTAGTACTTACTTCTCCCTACTGAATTGTGGATATCTGAAATATTTTGAATTTTTAATAATTAAACTGGCAATAAAAGGTAAGTGTATAGAAACAATAAAAGGGGTTGATAAAGTTAACAAGGCTGAATGAAATAAACGAAGGTAAAAAGATATTTAGATTTTGAATATTTATTAATAAATAAGGAAGGTGTTTACATAATTTTAAATAGGCGACAACATCAAAAACGCGTAAAGAAAACGACGGTCTCCTGCGGATTTTGAAGATAAAATATTTTGCAAGTTTCTAAATATCCTCTATAAAATCAAAAAGGTTAATCCGACTTCAAAGAGCCTTAGGATATGATGCAAAAATTTGGAATGGCTATGGGGGTTCCAAGTTTTATTAAAAAATACATCTCGGTTTACCATAAAAACCTTTTATATATTCGGCGTGCTTTCGCTCTTGCCTGGGCCCGAAACTATATGGATGATAAAATTAATCGAAAAATAAGAGCAACAAAGCATGCACCAGGCCTGCCCCGGTAAAAAGAAGAACAACAAAAAAGAATAACAATTACAACAATCACAACATTTGGAATAGTTTCGGTGCATCAGGAAAGATTATGTGTCACATGCATGTTTTATTAACAAAGACAGCATATAATACGATCGTAAATTTTACACGCAAATTATATGTTTTCATCAATAAAGTATGATTTTACTACTAGTTTTCCTGATTAACCCAGAAAGGAATACGATTTATCAGGAAACGAGATTGGACAACTAGAGGATGATTTATTAAATCAGAAGGGATCTCTCCAAGTTCCTCTTCTAATTTTCACATAAAGGAAACTTGTCACCTTCCTCTTCTGCTAACAAATTATTGTCAAGTATTCAAATATTACAGGTTATATAATAATAAATTAAAGTTCAAGTGGAAGAAACATATATATGTGTTTTAAAATTATAGATTACCATGACATTAATAAATAGAGTTTTAAAAATCAGTCCATATAGGTTCGCTCGTTAAGTGGTCGGACCTATTTGTGGCACAAGTTTAGGTAATTTTATTTTATCAAGAATCTTGGTTGTTGTTTCTGGTGTCAAATCTTTCTATAATTATTTTTTGAATAATATTTCTTTTTTCACATAAATAAAATCATACATAGTGGTCATCAACTTCCACTAATGTAAATAATTTACCAAGTGTGAATTTCATTTTCGCATGGTGTCGTTGTACATAATCGAAGAAAATATTTACCAACTGGTTCCCTAATAATTTATATTTATATTTATCCATTATATCTAAATTTCCAATATTCTTTAATATATTTTACCAATCAATGTATATGTATAAAAAATTGCAACTTCATTTACACGCAATAGAAGGCATTTCCAATAATTTTGCCAAGTTGACATTGACCAATATCTAGCAAAGGTGCAACAGCTTGCTTTTCTGTATTGTGATAGATATCTTTTAATGGTTGTTCTTGTGTAAAATCAAACATAACTGATGGATGGATTATTTGGTGTATTTCGATGCTATATGATGTATGGTATATGATATATTTTAAAATAAATATTTATTAAAAATTTTACTCAAATAACTTATCCGATCTATTTTTGTTGAGGAATGAAAATTCTTTCTCTCGTGCCAACAATTGGTGCACCTTTGTTGCTGTTGTTAATTATGACAAAATCTATTATTCAAAAAAATAATTGTGTACTGCCGATCATTCATTTATCTTTGCTATATACCACATTAACATGTCATGCTAATACAAATATCCACCCAGGCGGTAATTGTCATAACTCAGTACTGCAGGCTATAATAAATTGTTAAATGTTGCCGTCGCACAAAAATAACACGAACACGACTCGATAATAAGAATATTAATTATTATTGTTTTAAGGAGTAACCCCTTTCCTTTTGTTTTTGCTCCACGTAAGGGCTTTAATTTTAGATGACAGTTATATTCGCTCCTTTATCATAACGGTATATTTTGTTTATTAATTATTATAAGGTAAAAAAAGCAACTTTATTTTAAATCTAACTATATTATTATTCAAAACATTATATCTGCTCATTTTAAATCAACTGTCATAATATCTATTTTTCAATAAACTATTATATTTTTTTAAGTATTGAAGATGGAAAACCTGCTCTGGAAACACCAAAAGACGATACTTGATTATTAAAAATTACAGTTGTTCTTATCTTCCTGGGTAACAAAGGCTAATCTGACTGACGACCCCGAAGATACGATGACGCGATTTAAATTTTTCAGGGGGGGATGCCATGGCCCTGAATGAAATTTATCAATTGAGTTGTTGTCAATGACGGCTGTTAAAGCCTAGAAATTGAGTTGTTGTCGATGACGGCTGTCAAAGCCTAGAAATCGAGTTGTTTTCAATGAATAATGGCTATTAAAGCCTTTTATTCGATCAAAGCCTACCAACATGTTCTAATTACTTTACCCATGGAAGAGTTTATTAAGGGTAATAATCATTGATATTGTTACCTGAAGAATTTCCATGGATATGAAGATACGGTTGCATGTTTGTAGAAGGAAGATTTTAATTAAATCTGACACCCCAAATAGACAATCAGATTTATTATTCATTTAAATTTTCGGATCTATATACGACTTGCAATTGGGAGGCGCGTATTCACACACACACACACACATACACAAAAAAGAAGGAACCAATTAGACGGCGATGCAATGGAACCATCAGATTAAAATGCAACAAAAATAAATATCCCAAATGTTAAAAATTTCATTTTTGCATGGTCCTAGTATCTTTTATACTTGAGCGATGCAATTATTATAATACGCATTGCACAATCATCGTGAATCTTCTAATAGGCACGATACAATAGTGGAAACAATGGTGCTCATATTCAAGGAAAGGATTAAATAACGACAAAAAAGATAAGTGATATAATAATATAGAGTATGGGGGTCTTTTTTCGTGGGAAAGGTTATGACTTTTCCAAATGTTTTAAATTTGATTCTTTGACTTGTTAATATTAATGTTTAGAATCAAACGGATCGTCACTTGAACCAAACAAAAAATTCTACATGCCATTGTTAACATTCAGCCTCGGGATCATTTTCAAATCCAATCACCAACCGTTTTTGAATTTGACTTAATTTTTTAAACACGTTTGAAAAATTGTGATTATTTGCATACGGAGGTACAGATTAAGCATAAAGTATTCCGACTAAACATTTAGTGGAACTCTCTCCTTGTGTACAGTATAAGCGATTGATGTTATTGTTCCAAAATAATAATAAATACCAAGATTATGCAAATGATTTTTAAGATCTTTGGGATCTGAAAACGAAAATAAAATAAATGATGTTAAATCTAACGTATTAAAGCTTAGATGTCAGATTTAATAAATCATCCTCTAGTTGTCCAATCTCGTTTCCTGATAAATCGTATTCCTTTCTGGGTTAATCAGGAAAACTAGTAGTAAAATCATACTTTATTGATGAAAACATATAATTTGCGTGTAAAATTTACGATCGTATTATATGCTGTCTTTGTTAATAAAACATGCATGTGACACATAATCTTTCCTGATGCACCGAAACTATTCCAAATGTTGTGATTGTTGTAATTGTTATTCTTTTTTGTTGTTCTTCTTTTTACCGGGGCAGGCCTGGTGCATGCTTTGTTGCTCTTATTTTTCGATTAATTTTATCATCCATATAGTTTCGGGCCCAGGCAAGAGCGAAAGCACGCCGAATATATAAAAGGTTTTTATGGTAAACCGAGATGTATTTTTTAATAAAACTTGGAACCCCCATAGCCATTCCAAATTTTTGCATCATATCCTAAGGCTCTTTGAAGTCGGATTAACCTTTTTGATTTTATAGAGGATATTTAGAAACTTGCAAAATATTTTATCTTCAAAATCCGCAGGAGACCGTCGTTTTCTTTACGCGTTTTTGATGTTGTCGCCTATTTAAAATTATGTAAACACCTTCCTTATTTATTAATAAATATTCAAAATCTAAATATCTTTTTACCTTCGTTTATTTCATTCAGCCTTGTTAACTTTATCAACCCCTTTTATTGTTTCTATACACTTACCTTTTATTGCCAGTTTAATTATTAAAAATTCAAAATATTTCAGATATCCACAATTCAGTAGGGAGAAGTAAGTACTAAATACTGTAATTTATAACATGTCATAGATCACCATAGGTTATACAAAATGACTATGATTACAAGGTTTTATTTTGCAATGTAAAACATCCAAATTGAGACTTTGATGACGGATACGATATCCAAATAGAGTTTTGGTATATCTCTATATCAGCCAAACTTTATACCGGATATCCAAAAATACAATATAATGACATGGTGACTCACATTTATTAATAGTTTAAGGTCCCAGTCGATTGTATAATTACCATTACTGTTGCATTGTTTGTTGTCAAAAAGTACATAAAAACTTGATTCGTGTCAATTTTAGGAAGAAGAAATTGGACGCAGTCAATCAAAAAATTTGTTGCACGAATTTTTGAAAAAAAATTTTATAAATCATTTAAAGATGATGGATGGATTTGACGTTTCTAGGCTTAATCATAATTGTCGTGATACATTAACTCTGGATCAATATCTGATCGCATAAAATTATTTATTAATATTGTACATATACACAAAATCATAAAAATCATTACTCCACAACATCCTGGTGCTGGCACTAGAATGGATCCTTCATTACTTGACTGCTTGAAAATATTATTCGTTGATAGATTTCGCCAAGAGAACCTATCCGATTGCAATAAGCCATTTGTTATGTTGTGGCACTACAACAGCTGTTTATTATGCAACCATTAATTTGGAAGCTAGTATGGTTAATCAGGAAGGTCAACGAGCATTTTTTTGTAAATTAATATGGATCGTGATAGTCCAATTGATTATGTTGAAGAGATGTTGAATCTAGTATTAAAGATACATGACATTTTGTGGGATATGTTTTAAGTCTTAGTGGTAATAGTAATAATAACAACAATGATGATCTTTGACATTGATAATAAGTCTAAATAATATGTTTCATGACTCCAATATTAGATTTCATTTGATATCCTAGCAAAAATATGATATACCAATTCAATCATACCTATCAGAAATATTAGAGAGTTAGAGTTCGTTAGCGAATTGTCTTCTTATATCAAGAATTATACTACAGTTTATGATCACCGTAGCTCATGGTATTCATTTGTCCATTGAAAGAGAGAAAGCTACTTGGACAACATAAAGTTGGCATATCGCATTTAGGGTTGGGAAATTTAACATAAGGTATTATATGAAGTATTGTAATACAGTCATAATATGGTAATTTTTAAATGTTATATGTAAATTTTTTATTGCATAATATGATTCCCTAATCATATTGTCCAAATTCAAATTTGCTCTTTAGATTTGGGGTGTGTGATGTTAGACAATTACTGAATTATGGTATGTTAAAGTAGGCTTTGGTACAGAAGTTGGCGGAGGTAATGAAAATACTATGCCAGATGCCATAAAGAAGTGCAAGTATAGCAAGTCATGTTATTTATATGGCATCATCAGATGATGGTGATAGCAATATTCACACTTTTAGAATTAACAACAATGGATGGTGAATTTTCGAAACGTTATTAGTAATTTTACAATTGGTAAAGAACTTGCAAAATTTACTATTTAATAATATTGATAGAATTTATATTTCTTGGTGATGAACGAAATCTTAAAGCTGTATTTGTAAAAGGAAGGATAGTGACTTGTACTGATATATAGACATACACAGGCATATTTATATATATAATTTATTTATTTATATCGTCAATATGTAAAATATTGTATGAATAAAATAAATAAATGAATAAAATAAATAAATGAATAAAATAAATAGTATAAATGAATGAATAAATCATATTTTATACAAAAATAAAATTAAATTACAAATACACAAGAATGAATATATAATAATAATAAATAAAAATGTTATTATTGATATGGAGGCAAATCTTCCTCTACATGATGAAGGAGATGCTGAGATGATGGATTATTATTAGGCTTATAAGGCGGAGGATTGGAACTAACTATTGAATCATGATAGTCATCATTATAATACGAAGAATTAATAATGTATTCAGACCCCATTCCCAATTTTTCTATTTCACCTTCTGTGATAGTAATAGTGGAAGAAGAAGATCCTGCTGCTGCTGCTGCTGCTAATGCTTGTGCTTTAGCTTGTTTTGCAGAAGAAACCGTCAACATTCCATAATAATCTTCAAAAATCCCTTTAGCCTCCGCATCTTGTTCATATCCACCACAATAATTAACAGAAATTTTCAAAACTGATTTTTTTAAAGTTATTTCCGTGGAGAAGACAGTTTTACTTCTATATGTTGTTGTAAATTTTGGAGGCATAACTGAGGAAACGATATCCGTCATAATTATATAAAAAGTGTCAAATCCACTCAACTTTGAAGATTTATCTGCAATGAAAATTAATCGTTTGTCTGTTAAATAAATTCTACCAATTGCTGTGTGTTTCACGTCAGAATTCTTTACTTCCATTGTGAATTCTACCGGTTCATATTGGTGGTAATAACCTTCTCCTTTGACTGGTATCGGGCGTCTCTCGCCATTTATATACCGGATTGGTAAGGTATTAATATAATACATTTTTTATTTTGTCGTTGTTAATATGATGATGAGTTTTTTTTTTATTAAAATTTAACATTCATTATATTTCCATATTTATACCAAAATCAGTGACTGCGTCATTTATATAAATATTTCCCAAACCTGGCTAGGATTTCGCTAGCACTAAATTCCATGTCACCAAATTGGGTTAAATAAATTTCTTAAACATATTAATATTGTAAAAAAATACTTGGCGTTACGGTTTTTAGTCACTAAACTTTTTATTGGTCTTGTAAAATCCAAAAAAAAATAAGACTCTTGCTTGTCACGTGATTTATCTAAATGGCTTACCGTGTTGGCATTGTGGCGAAGAAAGTTCAGCGACCAAGTGGACCCAACAAATATTAAAAGAAAAAATTTTAATGTGAAACCAGATTAATTGATTTGGTTGGATATTCTAAATTGTTTATCTATCTTTTTTTTTTCATGTTAACATTAATAATAACATTAATAAAAACATGGAATTAATTTCACAATTAACCGATCGTTTATTATTTGCCATTCCAAAAAAAGGTCGTCTTCACGAACATTGTATTTCACTGTTAAAAGGGGCTGATATAAACTTTAATAGACGCAATAGACTTGACATTGCCTTAGTACACAACTTACCAGTAGCCATTATATTTTTACCAGCAGCCGATATAGCAAAATTTGTTGGAGAAGGCAATGTAGATTTGGGCATAACGGGTCAAGATATGGTTGCAGAGTCATTAATGTCTGAAAAAGTTGAAGAAATAATTGAATTGGGGTTTGGCAAATGTAAGCTTCAAGTGCAAGCACCTGTCAGAAATCAAATCAAAGATGTTAAAGAGTTGGTTGGTAAACGAATGGTTACAAGTTTTGAAAATTTGACTGCCAAATATTTTGAAGAATTGGATAATCAATATTTAAGTAAAGAGGAAAGAACTGCTGGAAAAAAAACTAAAATTGAGTACATTAGTGGAAGCGTTGAAGCTTCCTGTGCTCTTGGTTTGGCTGATGCAATTGGTATTATGAAATTAAAAGTTAATTAATTTGAATTGAGTTTGAATTTGAATTTGAATTTTAAATTTTAAAAACTTTTTATTTTAATACAACCCATATAATACTGATAATGTAATTAATGCATAGTTGATTTGGTTGGTTAGTATTATTTTTGGTTTTTTTCTTTCTCCTCTTTTATTAAAAAACCTCAATTTTAAAACTCAAAATTCAAATTCATATTAGAAACAGGCAATACAATGAAAGCAGCAGGATTAGAACCAATTTCAACAATTTTGGCTTCGCAGGCAATCCTAATCAAGAACAAACATCCAAAAAATCAATCGTTGATAAATTTAATCACATCACGTATAAAAGGTGTCATTGCAGCAAAAAAATATGTATTGGTGAATTATAATATCGAACGAATAAATTTGAAACAAGCTGCAATAATTACACCGGGTAGACAAGCTCCAACAGTAAGTCCATTAGAGGATGGTAATTGGATTCAGGTACAAAGTATGGTTTGTAGAGAGGAGATTGCACATGTTATGGATAAATTGGAAAAAATTGGTGCTACAGATATCTTGGTTCTCAATTTTGATAATTGTAGAGTTTAATGTGTAAATAATAAATATAAAATAGATAGGAAGAATAATAATTGTAAATTTTAATAATTATTTACTTGTAAATAATGTCTATTAATTTTTAAAAATAATATGTAAATTTTATTGTCAAAAAACCTTCGTACCAAAAATATTGTATGTGCTGAGATATATATATATGTGTGTTTTTAAATAAAAATAAAAATAAAAATAAAAATAAAAATATAAATATAAATATAAATGTAAAAATAAAAAATAAAATAAAAAACTGATCATAAAATAAATATATATACATTGATTTTTTATATATTCAGAACACTACTACCCAGTTTTCTTTAACTGTTCTTTTTAACATGACAAATGAATGTGTAAAGAGATGTGTTAAATAAGGGATGTAAAGACAATAATAGCATTACAATGGCACCACGGCATAATTATGTTATGATGTTATGATGTAAAGATGAGAAAAAAAAATAGGAATATACCAATATAATAAATTGATAGTAATGTACAACGTGAAAGATTAAAAATGTTGAATTAAAAAAAGAAATATCAATATCTTGTGAATTTCCAAAATCAAAACCACCTTTTTAAATATTTTCCTGGTTAATTTATGATATTATTATTAATGAATCCATTATTACCATCACCATCAGATGAATCGGCAGGCTGTAACATTGGTTTTTGGCGACTACCTCTTAAAGATCTAGGTAAAAAGTATTTTACATAGCTTAACATCGTTAATGTGATGTTTGATGGGATGACAATCAGTTGCATCATGCTGGGTGGTAAGGTCATTGCCTCTTGTTCCTTTAGATTGTGATTAATGAAATTGTCATATTCAGATAATTTTGATTCAAGATATGCAAATCTTTCCTCAGAAGAATTACGCAAGTGTTGTTCTTTTTTCTCATATTTTCTAACTGTCTTGTTAAGTTGAGAAATTGTGGGTTCGAATCCATCTCTGATACTATTTATATCACGTTTTGTCGCTAAACCTTTGTGTATTTGTGAAAATTCATATTCCAAATGTTGAATCTGTCTTTTCAATACTTCAACTTCTGTGCTAGGATAATGAATTTGTTCTTGAAGACGCAAAGTTTTAATTTTTGCTAAACTAGCTATATGCATTAAAGGTTTAATACCAGCTGCAAAAACAAACAACACAATATTAAAGTGAGAAATGTATTGGTCATAATCAGTCAAATAAGTTTTTGCTCCATGCAATGCATAGCCACCAATAATTGGTGATGCAATAACAAGTATTAAAGCAGATAGTTCATGAGATTGAAGTTCTTTTGCCAATTGGTTTTTGATGGCTTTTTGAGTTGAATCTAGTGTTTGACCCTTGAATGTATTTTCATGCATTAAACGTTTTGATCTAGCAGCATAGTAAAGTTCCCAAGGCACTATACAATCATTTAAAAAATTTTAATTATTTTTATTATTATCATCATTGACTTATCATAAATCAATGGATATCATCAAAATAAAATAGTAATGGATGCAAATAAACAAATACCTTTTATGATATTATATAGATAGAATGCTATTAAAAGTAACAAAAGAAAGTCACTCCAAACATCAGATTTGCCAAAAATAAGTGCTCCCATTGGAGGTATAACAGCAAATAAAATAGGCCAACTATATGCATGGGATGAAAATGATTCTGGTGTTGTTGAATCTCTAACTATTTCTTGTGGGCCTGTTGACATATTTCTACCATTACCATTATTATTATTATTATTAAATCTTTCATCATATGAAGATGATGATGATTTAACACGACCATTTTTGAAATTATTTGAATTATAATGATTACTATTGAAATTATTACCATGATAACCATTACTCATTGTAGGTATACCTGTCATACTAATTAAAGATGGGGTTGAGCCATTATTGGATACAGGCAATGATGTTGTTGAATAATCGGAAATGTCTCCACTATAGTTATCAACATTTTTACTTTTTGAAATTTTCCTTGGCTTTTTTTGTTGATTTCTATCTTGAGATGTTATTTCAGAAAAGGTAGACTTTGCAGATTTATCAATTGCTCTGGTTGTTGAATTGTTGTTATTAAATGCCGCTGTTGTAAAAGTCATGTTAATAATGCTATTATTATTACTATTACTGCCAATGTTACTAATAGAATTAGTATATGTAATTTTTTTTTTTTTTTTAAATTCTTTGAAAAAAATTTGCTATTTTTGCGAAAAACCCTCATATATTAGCAGATCTTGACTCAATATATTATTATTTTGACTTAATTTGGAATAAACAGGTTTCCTTTTATTTTGAAAATATCAGATAAAAATTCTTTCACTTCGCCATTGAAAACATAAAACATTGAAAAATAATCTGATTAATTGTATCTGGATAACTAAGATATCAACATAATTAAACTATAAAAGTTTTCTGGCTGAGCAAGTGTTTTAGAGTTCTGAATTGGAACCAGGTCCAGAAAAGGTGATTGCAAGCTTTATCACGAAGCCGAAATGTGAAAGTGGTAAGTATCAACACATTTATGGTTATGGAATGTGATACAGTAAACAAGAGGTTTATTCGACCATGGATAGGTCATAAAAGAATGGGAATGTCTGGTATATTATTCATGATGTTGCTAACTTGTGCTTTTTGTGGCAACCGGTTATTACTTCATTCCTTAACTATTTACACATATTAAATGTCTCTATGAAAAAGCCAGGTATTTTCTTTTTTGTTGATATCAATTCTCACAGAACAAATGGCATTTCAACCTTTGACCTTCTAGCATCATTGCTCCGAGAAATTTATCTTCAAGATCATCAGAAACCTAAATCAAGGCTTAGAACATTCAAAGACTTCATCTTCAGTGTTCTTAGTAAGATGTTATTGAAACAAAGCCAAAGTATTGGTAGATAGTCTACTTTTGAACATGTATGGCAAATGACATTTTATCTTTGCAACAACAAACATTTATGTTTCCATATCAGTTGGCTATTGGATTTTTATGTAGGTGATTGATTTAAAATTCATAATGGAGGAAACATCAACAAAGGCTTCAAAAAGATGGCTTTATTCTTCAAGTTGTGAGGGAATGAATGATTGTTGATATTTGAATAGTAGATAATATTTTATTCATGTCCTTTGTTCTGAAAACTTTATTGGTGTTTTTGATGGAGCTTGGTAAAATCTCCAATTGTTAGGCAGCAAAGAAAAATCACTTGGCTTTGATATATCTAAATTTTCAGATGATTAAAGTATTAAAGCTTGGCAAATATGCTTTTTAGCAGTAAAAAGTAACCCATATTTGTATTTAAAAAATAAAAAATCCAATTTTCAAAAATATGATTAACTTTAAATTTGTTTTAATGTCTTTGAGAATGAGTAAAAAAATATATCCTTCTAACAAAAAAATACATGGATTTAATTCTTGCTAATAATATTTGAAAAAAAAATTATTAATTTATATTCAATAATGAACGAAAATTAACATATATTACACACATATGGAGGTGCGGATATTGACATAATGAAGATAACATTAATTGATCAATCAATACCTCTGTAATTATATTAATAATATTATGTTCACTTTGCCTATCTTACATAAATATATTATTACATTTTTCAAAATTAATTTCCTCTGAGGAAATTAATTTTGAAAAATGTAATACTATTGTGTATTGATAATTGATACCTAAAATTAATGTGGTTTTTTTTTTTACAATAAATTAATAATGAATCCAGAACCCTTGTATAACCTTTACTGGTTACTTTAATTTAATTAAATAAATAAATTACATTACCAGGTTTTTTCTTATTTTGATTCCTACATGAAATCCATTTATCTTAATATCATATAAATAGAGTTGAATATTTTTTCTCATTCTTCTTAATGCCTTCATACTATTTTCCTTCATTATATTCATCATCTTTACACATCAGATTGCCAAAATATCCTACAGCTGCTACAAATTTACTATTCACAAATACTTTTTGTAATTCACATACATTACCACGCCCCATAAAATCTGCCAACTTTAAAAATAAAAAATAATTTATTTATATAATCTAGTTCTCCTCCATATAAATACAATCCATTTTTTGATAGAATAAAAATTATTTATATACCTGTTGTGGATCTACATTGCGAGGAACATAGTATGCTATATTCTTGGTTATTTTGGTAGTTTCTTTATATATTTTTTCTCTTTAATATTAATAATGTTAATATTTTAGTAACAAAAAAAAAAATAATAATCATATTATATATTCATAAATATTTATTTACCCATCAATTGCCATCATTGTTTTCAAATCAAATGTATCATAGTGGATATATGATGGTCCTAATTAGCAAAAAAAAAAATATAAGTAATTCTTTTTTTTTTTTATTAATTACAAAATAATATTTTTTTAAATTGATTAATACCTCCCCAAGGTGGACTTAGAAACACTACATCTGCCTATTATTATTATATAACATATGATATTATATAATTATATATTATAATAATAAAAATTCAACTGATTTTTTGTTCTCTTTTTAGCTTTGTAAATATATAATTACCTTAAGGGTAGGAATTAATTTAAAATAATCTCCCAAAATAAATTCAATTCGATCCTCTACACCATAAATCCTAGCATTATTTTTAGCACACATTATCTTAGTTTCATCAATATCTATTGCAATAACTATAATAATATAATAATAATAATAAAATAATGTATAACTAAAAAATAATATCTAGATATATTTTAATTATTACTTTGATCACATTAAATTAATTAATTACCTTTTTTGCAAGCAAATGCAAATTGTATAGCATTACCTCCTACACCACAAAACGCGTCCACGATTACATCACACTTACATCTTTCAGCAATTTGTTTTGCAATGACTTCTGGTGTAACTGAATACCAACCTTCTATCAATTGATTAATTAATTTTGTCATTTATAACGCGTAAATTTCTTTAAAACAACTTTTCTGTACCTTCATCCATTATAATTCCCTCATCATATAAAGAAAACAAGTCATATCGTTTTTTCCAATATCTAAAAAAGGTTTAGTATTTACTATATTATATTAATTCAACAATTTAATGAATTCCTCTCACTTTTTAACTTCTTTTGCTAATTCGGGAGCTTTGACAATCATATTGTTTAACTATACGTTTATACGTATGATTGGGAAAAAAAGAAAAATTTTTTTTGAGTCAAGTAAAATGGTCCGTAATTGGCTGCCGTAATAAATACAAAAATTAATCATTCCAGTTTTGAAAACATGATTTTTGTTCATAAATGCGAGGAAATGTAATGTATTTGAGTACATCAGGACAATATCTTTTTAATAGATGTTCTTTTTTATCTTTGGATTACTTTTGACAATTTGGTTCTTTATATGGGGCATGCTGCAACAAAACCAGACAAAGTGAATTACAGGGATCAAATTACATTTATCATCATGATTGTTTTTAGTCAAAAGAAAAATGCAAATCGATAATTATATGGAGACTGAAAGACAAAAAAGAAATTTTTTATTAAAGATGTTGGATACTTGTTCATAGTAGGATTACTCGGTCTATTTAATTATTTTTCACCAAAGTTTATTGACTTTCTAATAGTCCTGATTAAAAAAATGTAAATATGTATGCACAATATTAAATATTTTGATAATACCTTCATTTGTTAAAGATTACTCACTAGCAATGATAAAGGCTATTAATAATAGATTCCCTGATTCTGAACTATTTTCTTCATTTAAAATTTTTGATCCAAATGAACTTCCTGATACTGAGAGTGATTTAGATCTGTATGGTCAGAAAGAGATAGAGTTTTTGGATAAGTTTTATGGAGATAGTAAATTGATGTATGATGAATATTATGAAATAATTGAAAAAGGGAAATTAATAGAAGAATGGAACACTCTGAAAGTTTATCTAAAATCTTACAAAAATATGCAAGTGAATTTTGTTGAATCGTGGAAATATATTTTAGATATAGATGATAATTTTTTTTTCAATTATCCAAATTCAATGATTACAGTTAAAATAATACTTTTTATACCTTTTCCTAATGCACATGTAAAAAGAATATTCTCAGAAATGAAGTTGATAAAAAATGAGTTGAGAAACCAAATGCATACAAATACATTGAACAACCATTTAATGATTTTATTAAATGGGCCAGACACCCAAGATTTTGATTTTAGAAAAGCATATGAACATTGGATAAATAAAAAAGAGAGAAAATAGTTTTTATTAATTTTAAAGCTTAATTTTTTTAATTAAAATCATTAAAATAAATTTTTTTTTTTTTAATTTTATGCCAATATATTAATTTTATCAAATAAATTTACATTTAAAAAATTATTTTTTGTGATCAGATGTGCGCATTTTTTATGTAACACAAACCCCCGCACTCAATTTCAGACACGCCTGACTGTAATAACGGTTCACTTTCTCGTATTATTAATGATAGTGAGGTAAACGTGATCAAATACAAAGTAAAATTTTTTTGAAAGATGCTTTATTTTATTATTTTATTTTTTTTGAGGTTACGCAAATATCTTCTAACTTTCTAAATGTCTATTTAAACTAGATCAATTTTTTACATACATTTACTCTGTTTACAGCAATTAACAAACATTTTTCTTAATTTTTCTTAGTATTTTTCTTCTTGTCACTTGATTTTTTTTTGGAGATTACAGAAGGTAAAATACGAGGATCGTAAAAATATGTAAACTTTTTCGGTGAATCAATCAGTGGATCTGCATCATCCATCTTTGCCTTGCGCATAGTTTCCACAGTTTGATTCATTCGCAACTATTTGATTAAGTGAAAAATGACTATAAGATCAGCATAAATAATTAGTATACACTACAAAAAGAATGTTTCACTTACAATCATTTTCAGAATTTTATTCATGCAACAAATCAGCTCGTTTGTCGCAAACTCTGTAGGATATATCATACTTTAAATCTAGAGGTATATACCGTAGAAGTTAATAAGAAGAAATCTTGCATATTAATGTGATGATATTGGATTTCACAAACCTTGGTAGAGATATAAAGTTGGTTATCAACCAATCTAGTTACATACGTATCTATATGATTGTCTGAGTAAATAAAATAAATTTTAGGTATCAAGATTATTTATGTATTTTCTTTCTATTTGAATTTATAACATACCAGAGATTACAAAGGCTATAAAATCCATCTCAAAAATTTTTTCCTTTTTTGAGGTGGGGAGATTGTCATACGTATAATAGATTTCATATATATTTTCCCGAAGGCTCTTGTTTGTGTCAAGATCATATTTAACTATATCTTGTATTAAACCATCCTTTGCAATCTCTACATTTCCTATTAAGAAAATATTATATTATAAGAATGAAAGGTTTGATTATGTTGAGCTACTTAACATCGGCTATACTCACCAGGCTCGACTTTGAGAATGTCATCACGAAAGTAAATATCTGGTTGTTTTGCACGTAAATTTGCATCAACTTCATGTAATGCAAACAATGAACTTTCAGAAGATGAACCAGCTCGAAGAGTACGAAAATATTGAAGGGCCAAACGATCAATGAGAGAATAGTAAATTGATGCCGATTTATGACTTCGCTATTTATCTTAATTAAAGGATTTTTTATCTTTGAAGATAATTCTATATAATCTAACCTAATATATGGTGTAACAAATTACTAATTATTAATAATCTATATCGGCTAGATTAATATAATAATATAACTAACTATAAATCAATTAATTCAATTTTAAATTTGCTTACCAATTATCAACAGTTGATAAGATCCATTTCTTTTGATAAAAGTATGGATCGTTAAGATCTAATTTTTGTTGCATTGATAATTGCATTTTTCTCAATGATAGTACCGTATGATTTTTCATTAATTTTTTAAGCATTAATTTTAATTCTATTGGCAGTCCCACAGCACCATGAGAGTAACAAATTTCCACCAACTCCTCAAAGTCTTCTAATTTCATATATCCATTTAAAAGCCAACCATTGCTTTTATCAAGAATTAGATGATTCCCACTCCAGAAACTATTGTGAGGTATATGATCCAGAAGATCTTTTACAATTGTTCCGCTTTTGAGTATAAAGCACAATCTCGAAGAGTAAGATGATTGTGCGATTGAATATTCTTTTAATAACTGCAGTGATGAGAATGGTGTTGGACTAGATGGTACGTGTAAATCACTATATTCATCACCTTGATTTTACTCATTCTTGTGATACTCCATCTTTTGGCAATTACCCTTTGTTTGCTCCAAAACGTGGTCTTTAAAGTGACGTATTTTTCTTTTGGAACTGTTGATTTCCTCAATCAGGGATGTTTCAATATTTGTCTGAAAATTAGGGAGACTAATAAGATTATTGAAGCACTAAGTAATAAGGATCCAATCTTGAATTACCTTGGTTTGCAGTTCGCTTAATGTTAAATGTATTTGAGACTCTGCTATATCTTTGCTTCTTTCCCAAATAATCTTGTTAATCTGTGATGATTCATTCTTTTATGGTTGATAAAAAAATTAGAGAATAGAGAGAACTGATGAATGATACATGGCATTTTTTATGGACATCGGTCAGTAGGGATATACACGTAAAAGAATCACATATAATAAGTGAAGCTATCACGCTTCTCCTCCCCATCGGGTTAAGAAAGCATCAAAACCCTCCTCGAAAGCATCGAGGGGCGTAGTGACATGCAACCTTGCCTGACGTCTCATTTAAAGATGAAAATTTCAATTAAATGTCACCTTTGAGACTTAAAGAAAAAATCAACTGTAACTAATTGCAACCAATTGCACACGAACTGACCTTAAAATTAAGTTGTTTCTTCAACAAGTATGCCTTATCCGCTATTCTTTTATCAGATGCTCTGGCGAGAATCGCCAATTCGTTGCCCAACGCAGAATGTGCTAGATCCTGTCTTCTATATAGACTCGGGTTTTTCTGAATCCAAAATATATCGAATGATTCAACTGACCAGTTTTGGAAACTCGTACCTGTCCAATATTCTACAAATCGGAAGTTGATAAATATCCCAAAATGTGCAAGCAATTATAGGTGAAAAAAAAACCTCACCTTCATGATAAAGATTAGGCGGAAGAACCACATCATTTTTTGCTGAATTAGATTTCGTCATTTTTTTTAAGATAAAAGGTTAAAAAAAAACGCGTTAATTAAAAAAAATATATGGGATTTGGACTTTTGGACAAGGAAAATCGACCCCTCAGCTATTTTTTTTTTTTGAGTAATCATTGATCAAAATTCAACCAATAAAATTTGTTACTATTTTTAGATTTTTTTTTGTGCGCAAAAATTTTCAAAAAAAAATTTTATCATCATCGTAATAATATTTAATAAAAATTTTTTTTAAACAAATTTTATATCTTTTTCTTTTTTATTAAATTGATATGGAAGTACTTTAGAAAATTTGCCTTTAGATTCAAATATAAGACCAACATATGATTTGATAGAATTAGGCTTAGAAGATTATGAAGAAAATGAATTAATTCTTGATACCATACATAATTTAATGATATTTTTTCAAGAAAATAAGTGTAATTGTAAAACCACAAAAATAGATTTAAGGACTTGTTATGAGAAAGTAAATTTTAAGCAATTTTTTGAAAGACATCTTCAACTGTGTGCATTAGAAAAAAATGAACTAGAATTATTTGTAAAAGCTCAATTAATGTCCTTTGAAACAACCAGTGAAAAGTCAGTTATACATATACATAGATATAATTTTAATTATAATTTACCTTTATGTCAGCCAGTATATATAAAATTATGTGGGATTACTGAATATATGCTTAAAACCTTGCAAGATGATTTGCAGACTAATGGATTATCAGAGAGACTTCATAAAAACATTGGACATGTGCCTAAAATTGAATCCTGTGCTCAAGTTGATTTAGAAGTTGGATTAATGGTTAAACAATTTTTGTTGCAATATGGAGACATATTTGGATTATCATCACCAATGCATCATTTTGATGATTCTGATGCCTTTATATATCTTCCAATAGGGAAAACATATACTTCAGTATATAATTAATTTAAACCCCATTTTTATGTTGAGCATGATGAAAATATACAAATAATTTCCAATAGAACTTTTCAAAGATTATGGCATGAATAAGTCCCAATTATTAAATTTCAATCTCCAGCAAGTGATCTTTGTGACAATTGTGAGATTTTTAAAGCAAAAATGATAGTTGCAAAATCTGATATGAAGATTATGAAAAAATAAAAAAGGAATATGGAGAACACCATAAACTTGCATATCATGAACGTATGCATTATAATAATAATATAGAAAAAAGTAAAACTGATTCATCATTTCTACATATCTGTTATGATTGAGCTCAGAATGTTGGCATCCCATATTCGCCTCAACAAGTTGGATCAATTTATTTTAAAACACCATTTGCTGTAAATATTTTTGGTGTTTGTAAAACAGGAGAAGAAAATTGTCAACTAAATTACATAATTGCTGAAAATGAGTTTCCTTTTGGGGTGCTAATACAACATTAAACATGGCATTTAATTCTCTTAAAGAATTTTCCATAGATGATGTAAAAATTTTACAAATAACTTGTGATAACTGCACTGCACAAAATAAGAATAACTAAACTCTTTGGTTTTGGTCATGGTTGATGATGTTTGGTTGGTTTGATGAAATTATAATTAATTTTATGATTCCTGGACACACCAAGTTCATCTGTGACTCATTTTTTGGCAAAATTAAAAAATTATACAGAAACCAATCTGTAAACATTGTTGGTGATATTGAAAATATTGTTATTAATTCATCTAAAGGTAATGAAGCAATTAGATGTAATAGTGAATTAGATTGGGTATGGCATGATTTTAACTCATTTTTAATTTTGTTTTAAAAAAGATGATATTGGAAAAGTTTATGCTTCAAAAGAATCAAATGGAATTGAAAATTCTTTTTTACTTTTAAAAAATAATTTTGACTTTATTGATCATTCAGAGGTTCTTCCAGTGGCATCATTATCAGAAAAAAGAAAAGAATACTTGTATTCAAAAATTTGTCAGCATGTTAGTGAACCATATAAAGATGTTTATTGTTCAGAATCATATAAATAAAGATCTCGATTTTGGTCCTGAGACCCCAGAGGTTGATTTTCCTAGTCCAACTCCCATATAGAATATAGAAATTCTGTTGCGACAATGGAAGTGATTTTCAAGGAATTATAAATTTTTTGAAATCAGCAAAATTTTTTCTTTACATCTTGGTATAATTTGATTAAATCAATCAAATTGATTTTGGTAGGTTATATTAGAAGTGAAGGTTCAAAGTTTTCATGATTTACGTGGGTTGTACAAAAAGTTTTGAGAAAATGCATGTAACTTTATAAATTTGAAGGCAATTGATTTGGAAATTTTTTTAAATAAAAGACAGAGTTCCCATCTTTCAAATAAAAAAGGCAAATATTTTTTTGGTTGCTAATTATTGAGATATTAAATTTTAAAGATTAACAACAAAAACAACTGGAGATTTTTGTCATAAGGTACATAACTTGATGATTTTAAGTGTAATAAATAAAAAAAAGATTACTTTCTTTTACCAGTTAGTTATTGAGATATTGAATTTTAAAAATTATCAACAAAAACAAGCCTTGTACATTGGTTATCTAAAAGGTTGAGAAAAGCTAAAATAAATTAATGCATTCCTTCGAAATAGTTCCCATCATTATCTATGCATTTTTGTAGCCTATTTTTCCAATTTTCAAATGATTTCTGATAGTCCTCTTTTGTGATGCCATCTGTGTTTGCCTGAATTGCACATGCAAGATTTTCAATATGATCAAAATGCTGATTTTTTAGCTCTTTTTTAATTCTAGGAAATAGAAAAAAGTCATGAAGAGCTAAATCTGGGCTATATGGAGGGTGGGGGAGCAAAATAATTTTTTCCCCTTCTAAATACTCTGTTACAATTTTTGATTTGTGTGAAGCAGCATTGTCATGATGCATCATCACATTTCTTACCATTTTTCTATTTTTTAATTCTTTATATGTTGAAAACACAATAGGCAATACATTTGTTCTATAAAATGTGCCATTTACAGTCTGACCTTTTGGTACAACAATTCTTGCCACAACACCTTCTATTGAGAAAAAAACACAAAACATCCTTTTTTTAGCATTTTGTGCAGTTCTGGCAATTTGCAGCCGATTTTCCCCACTTTTAACTCATGTTTATTTGATTCTTTACTTGGTACAGTGTAAAAATGAAACCAGGTTTCATCACCTGTGATAATGTCATTAAGTCCATTATCAAGGATTTCTAAAAATTGCTTAGAAATTTCAACCCGATTTTTTTTATTTTCAACAGTTAAAACATGCAGAACCCATTCTTTACAAATTTTATGAACTTTTAATTCATTATGTAAAATACTTTGAATACTTCCTCTAGAAATATCTACATTCTCTTCAATAGCTGTAATTGTCATATGAGGATCATCACTA